TCGGTCGGGAAATACGACAAGGCTAAAGAGTATCTCGAAAAAGCACTTGTCATCAGAATGGAAATTGGCGACAGGAAAGGAGAGGCAGCCGACTTTGAGAACCTAGGTACTGTTTCAGTCCCTCGGGGAATACAACAAGGCTAAAGGGTATCTCGAGAAGGCGCTTGTCATCAATACGGAAATTGGCGACAGAAAAAGAGAGGCAGCTGGCTATGGAAAGCTAGGTTCTGTGTATCGGTCGCTCGGGAAAAACGACAAGGCTAAAGAGTATCTCGAGAAAGCGCTTGTCATCAGAACGGAAATTGGTGACAGGAAAGGAGAGGCAACTGACTACGGAAACCTAGGTACTGTGTTTATATCGGTCGGGAAATACGACAAGGCTAAAGAGTATCTCGAAGAAGCACTTGTCATCAGAATGGAAATTGGCGACAGGAAAGGAGAGGCAGCCGACTTTGAGAACCTAGGTACTGTTTCAGTCCCTCGGGGAATACAACAAGGCTAAAGGGTATCTCGAGAAGGCGCTTGTCATCAATACGGAAATTGGCGACAGAAAAAGAGAGGCAGCTGGCTATGGAAAGCTAGGTTCTGTGTATCGGTCGCTCGGGAAAAACGACAAGGCTAAAGAGTATCTCGAGAAAGCGCTTGTCATCAGAACGGAAATTGGCGACAGAAAGGGAGAGGCAACTGACTACAGAAACCTAGGTATGGTGTTTATGTCGGTCGGGAAATACTGCAAAGCCAAAGAGTATCTCGAAAAAGTGCTTCTCATCAGAATTGAAATTGGCGACCGAGAAGGAAAGGCAGCCGACTGCAGAAACCTTGGTACTGTGTTTCACTCGCTAGGTCAATTCAACAAGGCTAAAGAGTATCTCGAGAAAGCACTCATCACCGAAACTGAAATTGGGAACAGAAGAGGAGAAGCATTATGTTATGGAAACCTAGGTGCTGTGTTTACGTCGCTCTGGAAATACGACAAGGCTAAAGAGTATCTTGAAAAAGCTCTTGTCATCAGAACAGAAATTGGCGACAGGAAAGGAGAGGCAACTGATGTCGGTCTGGAAATACGACAAGGCTAAAGAGTATCTCGAGAAAGCGCTTGTCATCAGAACGGAAATTGGCGACAGAAAAGGAGAGGCAACTGACAACGGAAACCTAGGTACTGTGTTTATGTCGGTCGGGAAACACCACAAGGCCAAAGAGTATCTCGAAAAAGCACTTGGCATCAGCACGAAATTTGGCTACAAGAAAGGTGAGGCAGCCGACTTTGAGAACCTAGGCACTATGTTTCGGTCCCTCGGGGAATACAACAAGGCTAAAGTGTATCTCGAGAAAGCACTTGTCATCAATACGGAAATTGGCGACAGAAAAGGAGAGACAGCTGGCTATGGAAACCTAAGTTCTCTGTATCGGTCGCTCGGGAAATACGACACGGCTAAAGAGTATCTCGAGAAAGCACTTGTCATCAGAATGAAAATTGGCGACAGAAAAGGAGAGGCAACTGACTACGAAAACCCAGGTTTTGTGTTTAGGACGGCCGGGAAATACGACAAGGCTAAAGAGTATCTCGAGAAAGCGCTTGCCATCAGATGGGAAATTGGCGACAGAAAAGGAAAGGCAACTGACCACGGAGTCCTAGGTACTGTGTTTGCGTTGGTCGGAGAATACTGCAAGGCTAATGAGTATTTGGAAAAAGCGCTCGTTATCAGAACTGAAATTGGTGATAAGGGAGGGGAAGCAGGACCCCTTGCAGACCTTGGATATGTTTCTATAATTCTCGGAGATTATGAAGCTTCGAAAGTCTGCTTGAAGAGAGCATTATTCATATCGAAAGATTTTGGAGACAGAAGGAAAGAGTTTGAGATTTTGAAACGTTACGCCATGTTGTATTTATGTCAACATAAAAGGAAAGACTCTCTTTCGTATCTTCATCTATGCATTGAAAAGTATGAAGAGTTGAGATATTTCTTGGGCGTCAATGATCAGTTCAAGACATGATTTCTTGAAGACTCAGGAAGAGCTCCCTACAAGCTGCTGTCATTTGCTTTTTGTCACCGGAAATGCTCGTGATGCTCTTTAAGTCGAGGAGTTAAGTCGAGCTAGAGGCCTATCAGACTTGATGGCAGAGAAGTACTCGGTTGAAACGCACATCTCTGCTAACCCACAATCTTGGTTTGGCATTGAAAACATTTTAAGAAAGGAAAATAACTGTAGTTGTCTTTACATTTCTTATTTTAAAAAATACGTGCATTTGTGGATCTTGAGAACAAGTGGAGCCATTCATTTTAAACCACTAAACGTCGAGGAGCCGGAATTCATTATTGTTCCTGGCCGCACTTTGTACAAAGTTCCCTTTGCTGCTCTGAGTGAAAAGGAGGGAGCCAAATACCTCTCGGAAACTCGTAGGATCCGTGTAATTCCTACTTTGACGACACTCAAGATCATTCAGGACAGTCCAGAGAACTATCACAGCAACACTGGTGCCTTGATAATACGCAATCCCAAGGTTGATTGGCTGCTGCCATTGCCAGTTGCTAGAAAGGAAGCGGAGATGGTCGGACAAGTGGTGGGCGTTCTGCCTTTGGTAGAGGAGGAAGCAACGAAGCAGGCGGTACTTGAAAGGATAAGTTCAGTGAGCCTGATACATTTTGCTGCCCATGGTAACGCCGAAAGAGGAGAAATTGCTCTCGCTCCCATTCCTACTTCCAACAGTCCAAACACTATCCCGCCAAAGGAGGCTTATACGTTAACCACGGCTGATGTGTCCCGAGTGAAAGTCAGAGCCAAACTGGTAGTACTTAGCTGCTGTCACAGTAGAAGTGGACAGATTACAACCGAGGGAGTTATAGGAATTGCCCGTGCATTCTTAGGATCTGGTGCTCGCTCGGTGTTAGTTGCACTTTGGGCCATTCCAGACTCAGCAACAGAGCAGCTGATGAAACAATTCTACGAACGTCTTGCTGAAGGAGTTACTGCCAGTGAGTCTCTTCATCAGGCCATGAAGTGGATGAGAAATAACGGCTTTACCAAAGTGTCTGAGTGGGCTTCGTTTGCGCCGATCAAAAATGATGTGGGGCTCGATTTTGGCAAGCAGAGGTAAGATTCAGTCATAGTAGGTATTTGTTAAACTACTTTTGAAGGTGGCTATGGCTTTCCAGTTGGTCAGTTGCTGATGATTTGAGGCGGCCATCTGCGACCTTGAATATAAACACTAGCTTGATATTTACTTGGTTTTGAAGAGTAATAACTGACGCCCTCTGT